CTCTCACACAGGGCACATGTGTTTTGTCCCCTGGGTCGTCTGTCCTATTCTTCTTTGTTGTTTGTTTTATTTTTCTCAACCATCCCCCCCTTGACAGTGCTTTTTAGCCCTGGCCAAATGTCAGCTGGGATAACGTTTGCATAAATGCTGTGATAGAAAAATTGCTCAAACAGAGTTGGAATAACAGGAGAGATTGCGGGGAGATGTGGGGGGAGGAGGGGGCCGTGGAGATCTCGGCGTCTGCCTGACACAAAGAACAATAAACATGTTCCACATGGGGAGAGGTGGTCCACAGACCAAGCCCAAGCTGAGCATGTGGAAATGGGTTCCAGACCCAGAGCCATCGGCACAAAGGACCATTCTCGCACACATGCACACAAACACACACATGCTAAACTCTGCGTCTACCCTCCCCCTCATTTAGGCATATACATCAGCATGAAATGTGCTGCTAAACCCCTGACACCAGAACTAACCCGCCATCAAAATCTCAAAACTCATGCGGACCCAGCACATAGCCTTGCGGCATGCCCGAGGTGGTGATGCGTTTGAGGGAGAATTACACCTGAAGTGTGTGAGGTTTGTGCCAGGTTATTAGCTTGCTGTGTTTGCCCTAAACTATTATAGCCAGGTCATTGGTTAATTGCAGAATAATCACACATATTTGCTTTGGCTGCAACTCAACTAAAGGTTCAGGACAAAGAAAACCAACAATAACTTCTAAATGAGGACCAAACTCCACAAGACTTTCACAAACTCATCATTTCTGTTTGACAGAAGTTTGGCAAACTTTAGCATCTGCTCTGTGGCAAAAAGTGGTGCAAAATATAATAAATGACTTGGCACAAAGTGTAGGGCTTTCTAAAGACAAATAAGGTTGTCTCATTTCTCTCTCCTTCCAGACAGCTGGACTGTCTTTATCCAATTTTACAGAGGTAAACCCCCACCCGACCCCAAACTTCGGTGGTTGTAGTAATACAATCCATAAATGTTTCATTTATAAAACCCTCAAAACTACTTTTCCACTTCATTAGTCCAATTCTGAAATTCACAACATTGCTTGAGAGAGACACATTACAGATTCTAATAGTCAAAATGACTTTTGGCGCTTTTCCACTGCGTGGTACGACTCGGCTCGGTACGG